CTTGCAGATGAATGGTTCTTCTAAACCATGCTACAATTTTCACTTTAGGAAATGGAGAGTAAATTATTATTATTATTATTATTATTATTATTTTAGGGAAAAACCACTCAGTCATCAAAATTTGGGAAGTGTTTAGCTGGAGAATTAGGGAAAGTCTGTGGAAGAGAATTAGGGAAAGTCTGTGGAAGAGAATTAGGGAAAGTCTGTGGAAGAGAATTAGGGAAAGTCTGTGGAAGGGATGGTTACTAATGATTCCTGAGTGGTGTGCATTGTACAGCGGCGATTTGACCTTCAGAGGAGAAATGGCCAGTATTTCCTATATCCAGTTTTTTACAGTCCAAATGGTGCTTGTATTCAATGGGGTAATGGATGAGGAATTGCAGGGAAGCTCAGCAGCTTCAGTAGCTTTTTCCAGAGCAGGATCAATGATCTCCCCAGACAGAGTGAGCAAATTACAGAGTAACAGGGTTTCCAGGTTTTACTGTTTTTGCAATGTGTCATCACATAGGAAGTCACAGACTTCAGAAATCAGTTCAGAAGAGGTTGGGTGCTTTCCCCCATTTCTTTGCTGTAGTTCTTACCTGATGTTAGTAGCTCATAACCTGCAACTGTTCCAGTCTCTCAGGGATAGACCTACTTAATCCTCTGTCATCCTACTTTTTCAGTTGCTTTTAAAAACTCCATTACTCTCTCCTTCTCTCACTTTCTCTTTTATCATCTGCTTACTTCCGCAGTTCAAAGTTGTCTATTTACTAAAAATAAATTGTCTATTTACTATGTTTTATATTTTGTGATTTTAGATTGTACACCATTGGCAGGTTTTGTGTTGTTTTGATGACTCTGTAAAGTGGCGTACAAAATGTACGGAGCTATATAAATAAACACTAATAATAATAATAATAATAATAATAATGTGAAAAAGTAGTTTGTACTCCATTAACTCAACAAGGGGGAGAAAAGAGGAGGGGCAGAATCTTGCCCTTCTGCTCAGGGAAAGGCAACATCCAAGTGTGGTCAAGATGACAAAAATCATTAAAACTTGAGACTTACGAATTTGTGATGCCATGGATGGCAGGCCCTGGCGATGGATACGTTCCAACATTTCTCAGTGGCAACTCAATTGGCAGCAATAAAGAAAGCAAGTATGAAGGGGGAAGTTGGGAGGAGTAGAGAGAAACTGGAACATTTTTAAAGCAGTTGAAAAAGTGGTATGGCAGAAGATTAATAGGGACTTTCTCTGTCAAACTAGGACTGTTTGGAGGGTGTGATATCC